TATTACAATTCAGATAACTTTATTAATCCCAAAAAAGGCCATTTCTTCTGCTACTTACCCACACAAACTACTCACACAATCAAACTCCAAGGTTCAAAATAAACCATTAACAGTTAACAGTAAATTTCAGAACCCATTCTGAAACATTACTGTAAATATAACTGAGAAGGCAGAAAAATCCATGTGTTGTTTAAAATATTGAAGAGTTGCCTGAAGATCCTGTGATGAGGTTGTTTTACTGTAGCAAACACAATAGAAAGATTAAACTATTAATTCTTATATAATAATAAACACATAGTATAATGATGAGAAATTTTTCACCACCACTTATCCACAAATCCACACATATCCGGTATTCAGCAGAATAAGTTGTGAGAGAAAGCAAATGGCAACACTATTCTTTTAAGATTTACAAATACTGTTTATGTCTTATGTACAGATTAACACTAGACACACAGTTCATAATCTTATATGATTTTATCTGCTTTCCAAAATGGTTATAAGTTGTGTAACTGAGTTTTTGAATACCAAATTCCTCCTGCAGAGGGACGTCTATGCACGTTTTGCCTGCTTATAAACACATCAGAGCCATTTCTCATTTAATTTGTGGCAACATATGACTTCTTGGAGTTTATTCTTTATTTTTTGTACAGTTCCACATTCAGCTCGCATCTCCAGGTTCCGGCGTGCTACTCAACGCATGATTAGATGAATGCCGCCAGCCTCCCACTGACCCTGCCCCCTGAAACCACTGCCTCTGCAGCTGACTGACAGCCCACACCCCACCACATATATTTTATCAGTCTGTTATGTTCTGTTGTATGTTTATTTCAGTGAGAGACACTATAAAAAAAAGTGGAGCTGTATCTCAGGATATGTGAGTATTTTCAGTCAGCTCAAGCCTGTTTAAACATCTCCAGAGACAACAGCAAAAAAGCATGTGAATCTGGAGATAAACAGTTTGAAAAATGAAGATTCTATTTGTTACTGTGCTCGAGGGTCACAGTGGCTGGACTGAACACAGTGACTCTGACATGGACTCTTTTAAAGGGTGATTCAAACATCCGGCACATACTTAGAACATTCTTACTTTGCCTTCCACAAAAATACACTTGTTATAACTGTTCTTACAGGCAATCTTACATATTACTATTTACTATTAACTTAATAATTTACAGTATTTAGATGATACCAATTGAGTCACAATTTTATATTTATTTGAGAAGCACTTAGGTAGAGTACAGCTGATATCTGAGAGTGTGTGTGTAACAGCAGTCTAATATAAGATTAACTGAAATAACTCTCATAGTTCCTTTTCATCTCATTGCTTGAACTTAAAATACATTGCAAAGTAACAACAGTAAAACGAAGTCACCTTTCATAATGTATGTCTTACATCTGAGTGAGTAATGAAATTAGAATCTAATATAATAATTTTCCTTGCATGTTTTCATGTTGTTTGTATAGGCAGTTTTTTTCACCAGGCTTCAGTTAGACCCTAATGAATGCTTTATGCATTTGTATGCAAATTCATTGACTTCTTCTGTTATGCAGGTATAAAAGCTTCACATCAGACTGTGTTGTGGAGTTCGCGTCATGACACGTTCATCAAAAAACATGTTTTCTGTAGCTCTGTTATTGCTCTTAGCCACTTCATGTGAGTCTCTTTAACATTCACAGTATTTGTTTTGTAATATAAACAATTTGTCACAAATTTGTCAGAAATCTTTTTTTTTTTCCAGGTGTGAAGTGTGCACAGCTGACACAGCCAGCCTCAGAGACTGTGCAGCCAGGTCAACGTCTGACCATCACCTGTCAGGTTTCTTATTCTGTTACTGGCTACTACACAGCTTGGATCAGACAGCCTGCAGGAAAAGGACTGGAGTGGATTGGGATGGCAGCTGGATCTACAACATACTACAAAGATTCACTTAAAAGCAAGTTCAGCATTTCCACAGATTCCTCCAACAACAGAGTGACATTAAGTGGACAGAATATGCAGCCTGAAGACACAGCTGTGTATTACTGTGCCAGACTCCCACATTAACACACACAATCAGCAGCTCTGTACAAAAACCCCTCAGAGCCTCAATACTTAAACTCACCAGAGGAGGAGCCCCCAGGCCTCTTATTATGTTTTGACATAGATGATTGTTAGAGGAAGAGACAGTCGATGAGAAAAAGAAAATCACTTGTAAAAATATACATTAAAAACACAAACACTAAAAATATCTTTTTAGGTCTTAACTTCAGAATGCAACAAATAAATAAACAAGGTAAGGTTATAAGGAGTTAAATAAATCAGTAGCACAATTCTGGTGGAGGGTCTTTAGTTTCCATTTGTTGTCATTTTGCCTCACAACATTTAGTTGTTGTGAGAAACACAAAAAAATAGTTGTGTACAAAGACAAAAATAAAAATTCTTAATAATATGTAAAGTGTGAAGTTACATATTAGAAACAGTGAGATGCTAGACATGTGTTTTTTTTAAATCAATCAATGGAAACTTTTACAGATTTCTATAAAATTATTTTGTTCTTGTTTTCTCATTTTATTTGTGTGTAATGTGAGCCTTAAAGCTGGTTATGTAATCATTTTTTTACCAGTTGTTACTTGAAAAATTAGAGCCACAAACTAACTGCAAGTCGTAAAAGTCTGTACATGTTTTAATATTCTACTATACCTCATATGGTCATTTCTCTATACTAAGTTTAGGTTTAGACAATATATTTCATCGAAAAAAGGCAGGAAACAGAAGTGCAAAATGTAAACCTATTTTGCACTTCTGTTTCCTGCTTATTAGACAGAAACTACCACAGGTAATTGAGTAGTAATGGTTTGAAAATTACTCCATTATTACCTTCTTGTTTCTGCCTTGTTACCCTTCTTTTCCCATTATTACGCAGTTATAATACAAAGTGCAACACAAATCTTGTCAGAAG